CCCGCTGTCGCTGCCGCTCCCGATCTCGCTGCTCGTCGCTCCTGCTCCCGCGAGCCCTCCAACTGCTCGTGCCTCCCGCTGCTCGCGACTCCCGCGAGCCCTCCCGCGAGCCTTCCCTCTGCTCGCGACTCTCGCTGCTCGCGCCTCCCGCGAACCCTCCAGCTGCTCGCGCCTCCCGCGAGCCCTCCCAGCTGCTCGTGCCTCCCGCGAGCCTTCCCTCTGCTCGCGACTAGAATTTTTATTTAAAATAGCATATTTTTATTTAAAATTTTAAATAATTATATTAATTAATTATATTATATATTTTTATATTTTAGCGCCTCACTTCGCTCGAGCGAGCGCCTAGCGCCTCAGGCATTTTTGGACCTTGGCGCCTTTTGACGCCTAGCGCTTTTTAAATCACTGGAATTAATCATGCCATAAGTTATATTCTCATCATCTATAACACCACTTTGTTGTCACTAAAATAAGAAAACTACAAGGACAAGAAAGTCACACTCTTGATCCCAATAAAGCTTATCATGCTATGCTTCAAAATGTCAAGAAAATCTTTACGCATTTCTAATGATACAAATGCTACAGCTAAGGTGGATTAATTTAAAAAAGTCCTAAAAAATTATTAACTAAAAATTCAGTTTGAATCTCTGAAGATAGCAAATTTAAACAAAGTTTTATTTTTTCTAACATGTCATCAGAACAGCTAAAAAAACTTGAAATAACATAGAAGATACAACTGAAACATATAGGACAAAAAGGAGAAGAAAAGACATCAAAAACCTGTAACTCAATGCTGCAAACTGCCCAGAGCAAAAACCTCTCTTCACTGAAATGTTTATACATTTTTATAGCTATCTGCCAAAACAACCAGAAAAATTTTCACAAAGAAGTAACATGAAAATCAACTTAAAATAACCAAATAGTCCATATTTTATTTAATATTACAACATCATGGAAACTACCAAACCTGCTGTTGTTTCACAAATGAGCATTCACGAACATAGCAATTAAAAAGACCAATCATGATCTCCAAGTTGTTTGGGTGTTTGGCACAGGCATGCTCGTAGCATGAACTAGCGTGATCCACTGGTAATATCAGCCAAAGCTTTAAAATGTTAAAAGATTATAACTGCATGCAGAGAACAAAAATTGAAAGAAAGTAGATATACAGTGATCAAGCCGTTGGAAAACAATCTGCAACGTGCTGAGTGTTAGCTCGTCAATATGAAGAGAATTATCAGAATATAAAAACTCCTTTGCTTCTAAGCAAACACGTAATGCTTCATCGGGCTTTCCCATCCTCTCCAAAATAAGAGCTTTGAGTGCCTAAATTACGAAGTTGGAAATCAGTTTAACAATATTTCACAATAACTTGATACATTAGAGAAAAAGCACACAAGAGGTAGGGCACAAGTAGACATACAAAAAAATGCAAAGATAAGTAACACGGACATCTTAGACCAACTAAAAATGATAGAATCACTACAAGACCTTCAGTAAGATGTTGAAAATTATTTATTATGGGTTTTAAACAAGTTTCGAATGGCTAGAATCAAGACCATAATTGTCCTAGGTTTAAGGATCGAAGTTGATATCAAGAACGACCAACCGGGATAGACCAGAAATTTTATTACATTAGTTCACGCTTAAATGTTAGAATAAAATCAATTAATACATAATTTCATTTACTTGGCCTAATTTTCTGTAAAGATATTTCAATGAATAAAATAAATATGCTAAGATTTGCAACAAGTATTTTGGTATAAGGATAATTTATTTTCTGTCGAAAATAGTTTTTCCATTGAGGAGCGAAGAGAAAGGCAAACTATGAACTTGAGATATAAAGACAAATTTATGAGGTTTGGAGTTTCATTGAATTAGGCTAGAATTTACATGAGTTGCAGCTGTAGCAGCACAAAAGAAGATACGGTCAGAAAAACAACTGAATAAAGGATAAAAAATGCTTAATCCTTTTTATATTATTCATGGAATAAAATGAGAGACTATTGTTTTAAGCTGCTCATGCCACTATGCAAAAGAAAACTTGCATAGCCTCTTCTACAATGTGGTATGACCTCTTGCCATTCCTAACCTGGCACAGTACATACTGATAAGTATACACAGTGTAGGGCAACTAAAAAACTTGCTTCTAACATACTTAGGAGTGCAACCAAATAGCAGGGTGAGTACACTCATTTGTGTATTACCGGTTGCCAATTCATTTAGCCGTGACTGACACTTCCCATGACCCTGAATTTATAATTACATATCCTATCACATTCCTCTTACAGCTTCTTACAACTCCAAAACCTGCTCTTATAAGGATTTCTACAGACTGCTCAAATCAAATAAGCACTTGGTAATGAGAAGCAGAAAAGAAATTTTCGACTGTATGAAACAGACACACAACATAAGTCGCTTTCTGCACAAGCTAGTTGCATCCATGAACTCTGACTACAATTCAACACTCAGACTAGAAAAAGAAATTAGGCTAGCTGGTTGACCAAATACTAAAATCAACAACCAGATGGGTACAGAAAGCAAGTTGTACAGCCTAAATTTGTCTCAGAAGGGAAAAAATTCAAAACTAAAAGATGATAGAGATGCTACACCTTGAGTTCAGTTGATCAACCACCCTATCAACCCACCATTAGAGTCGTAGAAATGGAGGTTTGTTTTTTATTTGTAACACTTGGAACATTTAGGTAAAGAAACGATCCCCTGCTTCGGCAAATATGAAAGCTTTCACTTGTCTAAAGGATAAGTCTCTAATAAACTCGATCATCATTTTTCACAGTACAATATTTAAGGTCTACACTTTCCTCAATCCTCATCCATAAAGTTTTAGGACAGCATAATCAGATGATATGTACCATCTATATGATAGCCAGTCATGTTTATAAAGTGACTATTATGGTTCTTGGGTTTTTTTTTTCAGCAAAGAAATTGTTACTTATTTGGAGGAAAAGTATTCTTTATTTAACTCGGCAATGTTCCAATACTACGATAGCAGTAGGATCCTTCACCTGCAAATTTCTCAAGAGAGGTGGTTTCATTTTGTACCAAGGATCATTTTAAGAAAACAATCACCTTCTTTGGCTTCTTGGTTTTCTGTTCTGTCGCTTCCCCTTAGCCTCTTCTTGCGTTAAATATAATCAATAGTTTTCTAAAAGCTCGTAAACCAGAGCCTTCACGACAAAGAAAGGGGAAATCAAGAACGCCAGCACCTTATTTGCCTAATTCGGATTAGGTTCTAGCGTTCAAGAACACCACATAATCCAAACGCCAAGGAACATACTAAACGAAACGATCTTTACGTCCACGATTCGGTTTAATTTCCAGGTTTTTAACAACAACAAATGATCAAAACACCAAAGAACAGATTTCCCCTACGCCGATCAAGTTCCGGGTTTCAAGAACGCGAAAGATCAAAGTGTCAAGAACGAATGCGACAGGCTGCCATGAGTATCTAAGAGTACCCGAGAGGGCATAGAAACAGATCAAGAAAGTGAGAAACTCACCAGGGCGTAAGGAGAGCTGGGGTACTTGACGAGGAGACTCGAGGCGAGCTTGAGCGCCGGCTTGTACTGCCGGGAGTCGACGGCGTCCCAAATCGGCCGGACCCGGCGCTCCGGTATGCCACCGGCGACGCCAAATTTGGTCGCCATCGGAGCTTTCAGTTAGGGTTTTCGGCTGGCGGTGCGGAATAACTGAGGCGCAAGAAAGAAACAACGGGGGGTCTTAAAAAGAGGGGAGGGGAGGGCGGAAGAAGCGGGGCTTGCTGATGTGGGAATCGCGGAATCGATTGGTTTCTTCCATCTTTGTGTTGGGTCGGGTCAAGATATGGGTTTAAGTAACCATAAGTCAATGTTTAGTCGTGGAGAAAATATTAACCAGAGACGGCTGAGATTAACCAGAGCAAGGCCCAATTTTGCAGCGGACGGCCCGGATGTCGTACAAAGGGTGGGAAGGCCCACATTAGGAGCGAATAACCAAATGAAGGGGATACGCAATAATAAGATGGCGATCATACCATACACATTTCATCGTCATTGAGCTACATACCAAGATGGCGATCATACCATATGAAACGACGAATCCATTCTCGATCCACACAGCAAACTTTTGGATTGTGGACCAGAGAGAGATTAAGTTTCCATAAATTGCAGAATGACCAAAGGTTCATTTTTTTCCTATATCATCAATCATCTTTCTTAGAACTGCTATTGCAGCTTGATAAGAGATGGGAGTTTCAAATTTCTCGAGAGGATACAATTACTCCCTACTCATCAAGCAAGTCATCTGGTGGATCATATACAATCATATCAGGAAACAAGTCCAAGAAATCCTGCTTCATTTTTTCCCTCAATTCAGGATATGGTATGAGACCTTTCAACATAACTCGGAAAGGGAGAGATAATGGTGGATCAGGAGAGCTTCTCATATCATCATAAAATTCCATGGCAAAAGCAGGTAGCCCACCATCCAAGAAAGCTCTCACAATGTCACCATAGGTATGCTGATCAAAGTGGACATCCTCACTCTTCAGATGTGCCCAAACCTGTTTTGCCTCCTCCAACTTCTTGTTTCTTGCCAACATCATGAGCATGTCTCTGTAGAAAAACATATCTGGCCGGTACCATATCTCCTTCCGCACTGCATCATATATCTAAGACAGTTAATAAAGTTAGTGATATTCTAATCAACCTAAATGCTTATCATTCAGTTGCATATGGGTAGAAAACAAGCATTTATTGTTATTCATTTAAGAGAAATTAAGCATTATTCTCAGGAAAAATGACCCCATATCACCACAACAGGAAACGAGAACTTCATGAATGCTACTATACAACATAATGGTCAGATGTTCAATTAAATGTTGAATGGCTCAAAGATTGTTCATGAAGAAATTAGATTAGACAGCTCCTGGATAGGTAAAATGGGGTGTTTATTCATAAGAGTTATCTAAAATCTCAAGATTTCTCAAATTGCTAATTCAACTTCAAAAGCGAGCTCTCTTCCTATGTAAATTTCCTGTATATGTATGCTTTGTGATAACCTTTTGGACATTTCACTCATCCACTTATCCTCTGCAATATCACTTTTCTCTTGGCCTCTACAGACTTTATAACTAACCTGGAGTGATTACCGATAGAGATTCATGTCATACAATCTGTAAAGACTTAAAGATATCTTAAAACTTTTTCATTGAAAGAGGATGATCAAATAATCCACAAATTAAGGAAAAGTAGACAGAAATGAACTTTTTTTTTTCTTGCCAACAAATGTGTATGTCAAATAGATCTAGATGACATTCTGACCTTAAGTTCATGCCTCAAACCACAAAAAATTGAAGGTGGTCAACTGCATGAAGGTATGAACTTTTTCGTGACTAAGACCATAATATTTATGTCCTGCTCAAAGGTTGCATTTGCTCCAGGGTTAAAGAGGTTTACGTTGGTAGTTATTGGTTCTTCGAACAAACAATATCGAGTTAAGGAGGTTAAATAGATCCATCCAAAGAGGTTAAATCCAGATAACTGGAGAAAATTAGCCCATCAAAATGGTGTTAAAAATTAAAATTACACCCCCATGTTTTCCTTGCTAACCTAGATAACCCATCCTTATCAACCAAACATAAAAAAATAGAGCTAAAGTTAGTTAGCCGGCTTAGAAAATTTTAACTTGGTTATCTTAACCTTGAACCAACCATGAACTAAAAGCACGATGAGCCACCTTGTCTCCCTCTTTCCACATTTTCCCTCTCTTTGACAAATTCCCTGGTGCTTAATTTTCAGTCTGATTATAAATATGCATTTACTTTTGTCCTCCTTTTTCTTGGCCCTTGTTCCGAGAGTTGCCCAATCTTTGATGTTTAATCAAAACATGCAACAGCATAATAATGTTGCTATGCAATGTCATGTCACCTAAATCATTCTAATTTTCCTAAAACCATTTAAATTACTTGCTGCTTCAGCACATGCATGTCCTTGGTTATCAATCAGCGTATCATCTATGACAAACTGAAAAGCAATCAATTGAAATTCTAATCCACCAAGCGGCCACAGCCAACAGTCGTACCTACACATACCTAGGCGTAATATGGCCATGCGCCATTTACAACGTGAAAAAACCAAGGTTCACGTCCATGTTTATTTTGGGACTAGTAGAAATCAAATTTAATATGAAAAGGGCACAGCATGGGAAACATAGACATTCCTACCAACATTGTGACAATAAGTAGAACAACTTTCTATATTCTACTTGTGTGAACAGTGGTAAAATGTGGCTTAAGTTTTGGATTTCAAATGTAAAGATCATGTAAATCCAATTTAACACCTCTTTGTTTAATTGTTTTAACTGCCAATATATTTTTTGTACAAAAATAATTGATATTTTTTATACTACATAACATTCTTTGCATCTCCAAACTAAAGTATAGCAATAAAGGGCGGCCTTTTGCACAAGGGCTCAACCAACTCAGAATCGACGGCAATAACCACCATATTTTTTGTTAAAACCTTCACAAGAGAGCATCTTTTTGTTCCATCACTACCTAATTAGCAAGCAGCAGAAATTTTAACAAAATCACATAAATGCTCCCAAATCTAATCGAACCAAATCGCCAACACAGCAGAACAATTCAATCAGGAGCATGGAAAACCGATCCATCTCACCTTCATGGCTATAAAAACGTTATCCTGACGCTGGAATTCGGCGAGCACCGCAAGCAGATCCGTTCTCAGAAGCCGAGCGACGTGGGATCTCATGAACTGCTGGAGGCGCGGTCCGTGGGAGGCGAGCCGCTTGAGTTGCTGGACCACGAACAGGCCCTCCTTCCCCATCTCTTTCTTCCGCCGCCAGATCGAGAGGCTAGGGCTCGAAGCCAGCGAGGCGGAGGACGAGGAGCCGGAGCGGAGGAAACCTGCTCCTCCTCCGGCGATGGCGCCGCCGCCTCCATCACGGCGTAGAAGGAAGGAGAAGCTGGTCCCTCTGCCGAGCTCTCTGATGGCCCGTCCCCTCAGCAAAACGGAAGCCATGGTCTGGTCATTTCCCGCTTCTGTTGTGGTTCAGCCCGATTAGGGTTCTATCGGGGTTCATGTAAGGGGCCCACAGCATCGCAATGTGGGCCACACGCCATGTTTGACTCATGTCCGGGTTACACTGTGGATAAAGCGTTACGCCTACGACCAAGATCACGCGTGAAGCTTACGTGCTGTGCTGGCAAGAGGCGAAGCCGTTGGATGTGGGAGAAGATAAACGTTATTTTACTCGTTTCCGTAACTTTAACGAGTATGAATAGCACTGCCGTATAAAGTTACCCTCCCGAGAACCGAGAAACTCGACAGGGTTGATAAAGCACCTACGCGACCAATTTTTTTTTCTCGGGCAATCAATTTCCTCTCTCTCCCAGAATCGCAGGGCCGCCCCGTCCTCGCCGCTGGTCGGCGGCGCTGCTTTCCGACCACCCGCCCGCCGGTAAGAGACACAATGCGCCCTCGGCCCTGTTGCATCTTCTTGTTTCCCCCTCCTACTTTTGTGCCCATGGTCGAAAGGCAAGTAACTTTTGGCAGAAGCGACTCGCGATGTACGCTCGTGTTACTGAGCATAGAAAGAGAAAGCGCAACCAGATGCTCGTAACCGGAAATAGTTAACTATCGAGACACTCCTTGACTGCCTTGAACGATTAATCTTTGTCTGTCTTAATTTAGTCGCGATGCGGTTTGAGATGTTTCTCGTGATGATTGTGATAGGTTTAAATCATTGATTATGAAGAGAGGCATTAGAAGAGTTGTGTTCATTGCAAGCAAAACTGCGGTTTTTTTTTTCTTTTCTTTTGAGAATTTTCCCTGTTGCAAAGGTTAATTGCGACGTGATCAAATTGAGAAGCCATTATTAATTTCTGCAGTGGTTTCTAATTATGTCTCTATGCTATTGTAGTTACCATAAAAAAAATGTATTTGTCGGAGTCTTATTGGTTCATTTTGAAATCGTTTCTTTTGATAGCGTAGTTGCTAGATGACTATAATTGTCCTCCCACTTTAACTGATTTGCTGACTTGCTTCCACTTTGCATGTGATTTTAATCATGAAAGTGTGTAAATGTCCTGTTTTTTAACTTGATTATAGCTAGAAAAATTTATTTTTGCTTGTTATTTTCTATATGTTGTGTTTTGGCCGGCAGGGCTGCTGTATCTCATCGCACATTGTCAAATATTAGAAGTTCATGGTTACATTTGTTTATGTTGCACTTCCAAAATTATATCGAGTAATTCATATTTTTGATCATACATCTGAGTATGACTGCCCCCCCCCCTTTTTTTTTGCAGGTGGTTCTTGTGGATGTGGTACACTAAAAGCTAGGTTGCTGTTAAATAATGTCAAAAAGGAGATTGTCTCACTGCAGCCATCCGATTAATGGAACTCGTAAGCAAACACAATCATTCATGAAAATCCAATTGAATGTGGACACCTAGAATTCTAGATGGATAATTCTTTAAGAAGGATTTGGATACTATGAGATTTTCTTTGTTAGAAAATTAAGAAAGGGATCATTCAAAGCATCATGTGGATCTTATAAAAAAAAAATGAACCCACTGATCAAAGCAAACTCATGAATTTACATCATCCATGACTAATTCCAGTGTGGAATATATAGATTCTGAAGAACAACAAGAGCAAACCTTGCTACTTATCAGAGCTTTGATGTTTAAGTTTGATGAATTTAACCTGGCTATGGTTACCATAAAAAAGCAACCTAGTTTCCTTTTTAGATCTCTGTTTTTAGGTTTTCTCTTGCTTCCTGGTAATTAGACTGACAGATAATTAAATGCTAACCTTCAGCCTTTGAGGCATATTATCATGGATCTTGGCATGGAGTAGATCATATTAGCATCAGAAATGGAAGTACTTTTGCAAAGTTAAACTACCACGGAACCATGATTGTGGATAAAGTAGATGGTGATTGTCTACGTATGAGATCTAGGAAAGCAAGCTTGAGTGATTGCATCCATTTTCTGAAGCCTGGCGTAGAGGTGTGTGTGCTTTCACGTCATCCAGTCTCAGCAAATTTTGGCCAAGAAGTGCAAAAACCTGTAAGCCATGTTATTTCATTCATTTGTTTGTTTATATCTACCCTTGTTTAGCAGCTTCGAACCAGATTGTGATAGAAGCCATTCCACCATCATGGCCTTGGATATTGCTAGGCACCCATTTGAATCATAATTGCTACGTTTTTGCAGTTGCTCTCTTGGCATGATGCAATAATTATCTCGATCAAGAAAGTCCGTCATGTAGATCACTGCAGTTTCCTATTCTCGGTCATGATTTGTACAAACAAATCTTCAGTGAGTGAGAAGAAGGGCAGAAATGACAGATGGGCTGAGGTTGTTCCAATTGATAATATTTCCATCCTTCAGAAACTCCAAAGTGAACCTTGTGAAGATGGATATTACCAATGGAACTCAACTGTAGATTGTGTATCCTACGGTAAAAGTAAGCTGCTCAACGAAGCATTTTCTTCTGAAGTTGCATGGTTGCTTGTACTGTCCACTCTAAAGGGGATGAGTTTTGACTTGAAGTTGGTTCAAAATAAGTTAGTGTCTTTTATCACTAAAAGCTATCAAGAGTCTGCAAGTCTATCTAATCTACAGTCAGATGGTGCCACAAACATAACCAATTCAAGTTCCCATGAGACAATAAAGATCATGCGCTTCCAGTGGTCCAATGAGATACTGAAGCCTAAGATTCAGACTGTTGTCATGGCACCTTCTGAGGAAATAACTCCCGAGAAAGCAACTGAGGCCAATCATCATGTTGTCAATGTTGAAAGCGACTCAGAAGTCGAGTTTTTATATGAACACACGAGTTTGAGACATTCTAAACGATTAAAAGTGGTCCCTGATCGTTTTAGTAGCTATTCTTCACCAGATTTTGGTCGCTGTACTAAGAAGATTGTGATAGAGGGTATAAATGGAACTGATGAAACTTGTATTCCTTTTAAATCTGGGGTTTTATTAGAGGGGGATCTTGATTATGTGGAATTGCAACAACAGAAGTTGTTGGAGGGAAAATCTGCACTGCTTCACTCACGGCATTCTTCCAATCTGCATGAAATGACACTGATAGGCTTACACAAAAGAGGTAAAGATGGAAGCACGGACCCATCGTCAAATGAAATTGACCATATTCCTCTACATGTATACAAGAGAAGATTCAAAAGGAAGAAATTAGCAAATCCAAATGAGTGCAAAGAGGTGATAGAGAAGTGCATAGGAAATATTAGAAATCAAATTGAGAGACAGTTTGAGCCTATTGTGCCACAGGCAGCTTATCAACCAACAGCTTCACCAAAAGAAGAAGAAGAAGAAGATTTTAACTGGACACCATTGGCTGATACTCCAGCAGAACAAAAAGAACACGAAGATTTATGGAAAGAGATGGAGCATTCTTTGACCACACTTGCTCTTCTTGAACAGAAGCAGGTATGACCGATTTAGAGTATTACAATTTGTTCATTTATCTGGTGCATCAGACCATGCTAAGTAGGACTAAAGATACTTTAATAAAGTTCTGTCAGCCAAATCATTTCTGAAACAGTCTGTCTATGTTTTTAACAATGATGGAAACATTAGGAGACTATCGCTGTTATGTGTAAATCTTTAAAACTGTTAAATTCATCCTCTTTTTATGTTTTTCTTTGATTTGCTTTTGGTGTCTTTTATTTTATGTTTATGTTGGTCTCTTTTATTTTTATTTTTCTCTGTAGCATCTTTTGACACAGGTCTTAGAATAAGTCCAAATGAGATGTGAAAATACTAGTTATAAGAAATATCATTTTATCTTATTTTGTTAACAAAAATTGTGCAATTTTTTTTTCTCATAGAAGCTATTTTAAGGAATTGGCAGGCAGTGAACTTCGAATCCCAAACCGAAGGTACTTTCAATTCAGTGGAATATGGTGAAGAAAAATGCCAACATGATTACGAGCTGCATGATGAGATTGGACTAAGATGTCGGTTATGCAGCTTTGTTTGCACTGAAATAAAGCATGTGTCACCACCATTTGTAAGCATCAAAGGCAGAAATTGTAGTTCCTTAGCTGATTTTGACAAAATTGGTTTTTTGTATATAACAATTTCATATTTGCTCCATACAGTTACAGGTAGATGGTTGGAATTCATTCAAGGAGAAATTTGTTGATCAAACACTCTGGATTGAACGGTATGATCTGGAACTGAACGCTTTAGGAGATGCTATTTCCTCGAGGGAAATTTCGTTATCAGAAAGGTGTGAAAATGTATGGTCCTTGATAGATGATCTCCAGTCAAAATTACACCTTCACCAGAAGAAAGCTTTTGAGTTTATCTGGAAAAACACCACTGGATCTTTGAAACCTGAAGAGATGAACCATTTGTCAGAAAATACTGGTGGTTGTGTGATCTCACATTCTCCTGGTTCAGGAAAAACCTTGCTTATAATTGCGTTTATTGTCAGCTACTTGAGACTATTTCCTAAAAGCCGACCCTTGGTACTTGCTCCCAAATCTGCCATCCATACCTGGAGCAAGGAATTTCAGAAATGGGGGATTTCAGTTCCTGTTTACCTGATTCAAAGGGAAAACAAATTTAGAACATCATCCTTCAGGACTAGTATGCCAAGTAGGAAAATGAGGCAAATAATGGATTCTGTTAAAAAGCTACAACAATGGCATGAAAATCCAAGTATTCTTCTAATGAATTATTCATCATTCTTTGCCTTGTCGAAGCAATATTCAAAACTCGAGCATATTAGGTTCGTGGCTGAAGTTCTGCAAAAAAGTCCTGGGATTTTGATTCTGGATGAGGGTCACAACCCAAGAAGCACCAAATCAAAATTACGGAAGCTCTTGATGGAAGTGAAGACTGAAAACAGAGTTCTTTTATCTGGGACAGTTTTTCAAAACAACTTTGAGGAATACTTCAACACACTAGCTCTGGCCAGACCTCGCTTTGTTGACGATGTTGTCAATGAGTTGGAGCCAAATATGCTGAATCTTTTTGATAGAAATAAGCAAAAGCAAGCAAAGACAAAAATTCGCAAAGAAAGACTGGCAAGAAAGCTTTTCATGGAAAAAGTTGGACAAAATATTGAATCAAACAAAGAACATGACAGAAAGCAAGGGTTTGGTTTGTTAAACAAAATCACAGGTGGATTTGTCGATGTTTATGGCAGTGAAATATTAGATATGCTTCCTGGTTTGGAAATTTACACTATTATGTTGGCGTCAACAGAACTTCAACATGAAATGTTGATGAAGTTACAGAACTCAGTGCCACACAAAAGATACCCACTTGAATTGGAGATACTGGTCACAGTATGTTCTATCCACCCATGGTTGGTAAAATCAGTGGGTTGTGTGACTAGTTTCTTCAGCGCAGATGAGTTGGAGACCATCAGTAAATGTAGAGAAAATTTCAGGCTTGGTTCCAAAGTAAATTTTGTGATTGATCTTGTGCACAAATCCGATATTCGAGGGGAGAAGGTTTTGGTTTTTTGTCACAATATCTCGCCATTGAACTTTCTGGTTGATTTGTTTAAGCTTATCTTTGGGTGGAACAAAGGAGAAGAAGTACTGATTCTGCAAGGCGATCAAGAGCTCCCTCTGCGTGCAAAAATAATGGACAAGTTTAACGGTGATGTCCATGGCAAATGCAAGGTTCTGCTTGCATCAACCACAGCTTGTGCCGAAGGCATTAGCTTGACCGCAGCATCCAGGTTGGTTATGTTGGACTCAGAGTGGAACCATTCCAAGACAAGGCAAGCAATTGCTCGAGCATTCCGACCAGGGCAGGAGAAAGTGGTCTATGTGTATCTGCTATTGGCTTCAGGGACTTGGGAAGAGGGCAAGTACAAGAGTAATGCACGGAAGGCTTGGATGTCGAAGATGATTTTCCTTGGCCGTTACATCGAATTTTCCTCTTCTAGACAGGTGGAACATATCGATGATGAACTCCTGAGGGAGCTTGTGGAGGAAGATGAGATAAAAATGCTGCAGATGATAATGAGACCTTCTTAATTCAGGAACAACCGTAAAGCAGCCTGGATATCAATCGATAGATCTACTCTTTGCTTGAAGTGCTGCTGCTTCCAATGCAAGAACACGAGTTATCTGTGTCAGCATCGAACGAAACTGTACTTGAAAATGTTATTAATTTTTGTTTCCCTGAAATGTACATCTTGCACTTTAATTTTAAGACCATTACTGATTTGCACAAACAGATATGAAAGATCAATTACTAGTTACAGTTGACAAGGACATCCTTTGCAGATATCAGGCTCTCATGAATGGATTGCCTTTCGCAATGAGTTCTGCTACTGCATTCACAAAATTTACTTTTCTAAAGATTACATGCCAACTTTCTTTTCTTTTCTTTTTTTCTTTCCACCAGCATTATATTAATTTGCATATATGATTCACTTGTACAGATTCAAACCTGAGATCTATCATACCAACATGATATGTTTACCCAGTTAATTAAATTGCTGTTTTTCCCTTCTTAATTATAATTTTTACAGTATGTCAATGCTAACCAGATTTTTCAGAACTTATAATCTAGTCATAAAAGTTACAGTTAATTATAATGGATGGACTTCCCAATACATCTTTACAGACCTATATAATTGTGCAGTAAACTTGGTAGGGACAATATACTAAGTCTCATGTTTACAAGTAGAGATGATCTGCATGACTCAATTACTGGCTATATGCGTCTCCAAAAATATTTATTTGCATTGTTATCTCCTAAAATATTTGCATTAATGTGATTGATTCTATTATATGGATAATATGGCTCTCTTTTTTTTTTTTGCTTCAAAATATGACTGCAGGAAAAAAAAATCTTAATTTCAAGCAATTTCCTCATAAAGGCACCTCCCACACCACAGGACCAGCCGTGAACCGTTTGTTTCGCTTTATGATTCGCTCACGAGAGGATAACTTCCCCTCATGACCGACGGATCCTTCCGGTTTAAATACAAAGTCCCAAAAGACGCTACCTACGAACCCTCGAAACCCTCCGCCGAGTTGCGACTACGTGCAACAACGGCCGTGGCGGCGAGGACATGGCGGAATCGGAGCCCTCGAACCGGGCGCTCACCACGACTCGATTCTCCGAGCTCAACCCTCCTCTCTCCGAGCCTGTCATCGAAGCCCTAACCCTCGCAGGATTCCAATTCTGCACGCCGGTCCAGGCCGCCACCATCCCCTTGCTCTGCGGCCACAAGGACGTCGCCGTTGATGCTGCCACCGGATCCGGGAAAACGCTGGCCTTCGTAGTACCCTTCGTCGAGATCCTCCGCCGGTACCCTTCTCCCCCCAAACCTCACCAGGTGCCTTCATCTCTCTTACTCAATGTTCTGACATGCACAATGATGTTCGTGTTGAATACTTAGTGATGGATTTTCCGCTTTGGAGATCGATGATTCCGCCATGAGTACCGTGCTGTAGTCTAACTGATATGGGCGCCTTTCGTGGTACCTAGTCCTTGTCATTATATATAATGTGGATACGTTACAAAGAATCATCAGGTCTAACTTAGGAAGTCGATGGGTTTCTTCATGTTAGCCTAGCAGGTTTGCCGATTTGTTGCCTTCATTCGCTTCATTGCAACGCAATCTGTATGTTTCTGCTGTTTCGGCCATAGAGCATCATTGTCTTAGTTATTGATGGTATAGTTCTCCCCCTTTCATATCAAAATTGCTGCAAACTGCTTAGAAACTACTTTGTAGACTTACATGACTATAGCAGGGCTTTTAGATAACACGATTAGTAACAGGCTTTCCCGTATATGTAACAAATGCTCTTCTCATTTTAACCGAATGCAACGTCATAATTGTTTGTACTTGAGATTATACTCGTATGTCTCAAGTTATTCGTAAACTAGCACACACATCTGTTCTCTTTTGGCTGAGAAGGAAAGAACAAGAGATCATGTAATTTACCTTTTTGCTGTATGTGTCCGACATGATATTTGGTAGTCTCCCGTTTTTATTGATTTTGGTGTCCTTTGTCATTTAAATTATTTACGTGTTATGAAAACATGTTGTTTCTGTATTTCGGTCATGACAATGAATTTTTCTCAACAAGAGTGGTATCATCTTCTGATAAGCATGTCTTTTTCTATGGCAGGTCATGGGAATGATTATTTCTCCAACAAGGGAGCTCTCATCACAAATATATCATGTTGCACAGCCTTTCTTTGCAACAGTGCAAAATTTAAAGTCTATTCTTCTTGTTGGTGGTCTAGACATAAGAACAGATATCAGAAAAATAGAAAATGAAGGTGCCAACATCCTCGTAGGTACTCCTGGGAAGCTGCATGATATAATGGAGCGTCTAGATGTACTGGATTTTCGAAACCTTGAGGTATTTGTCTTTGACAGTGATTTTACAATTATTGTCCCTTTTCCTTTGGATCTTCTACCAGATGCCTGTGTTTGTGCTCCTAATCAAAGGTTATTTTGAAACTTGGTAACAAGAGGGAGGCTAATGTAGGAAGTTCTTTGGATGATGTATCGATTACTCTTTTTTTTTGCCCTTCGCTTGGTGTGACCTAGACTTGTTTGTCCAGATCCTGAGCTCAACATTCACCCCTTCCGTGTTCCCCTAGATATGCACTTGATTCAACCTGACTTGACTGTTTTGATCTTGGTTCAATAAGCTTACTCTAAATTGATCATCTAGGTTTGAATTTGGCTGATTATGGTTTATCTATCAGTGTCAGATTTGGTGGAGGACTGATCTAAGCATATGAGGGAGCTTCTATTACTGCTGCATTCATGGTTGTTGTGCCTACTGATGTATTGTTTGGGATGGTGAGAGAAAGCAGGGTTTAGGAATGAGAGAATAGGGAGACGAGCAAGGTGAGTTGAAAGAAGAGAGAGAGGTCTTGTGACTCAAATCACAATATAGTTATCCTGACGTGACTTGCTTGGTTGTCAGTCTAGATGCCAATGACAAAATTATAGAGCTGTTCTTGGCTGGACAAATGTCTGTTTGTCCCTGATCTTAATTAACTAATTTGGAAAACATTGTATATCATAATTAACAATTTGGTCACCTAACATGTTTAGTTAAACATGGAAGTTTAATATATATGATATTAGTTAAATATTTATCATAGGCATATTGAGGGTGAATTTTACCATCATGGCTAAGATGCTCCTTAATAACCTGGATGATCCAGGTTCAAGTTGTAGAAATGAGCCCTCTTTGCTTACAGGGATAAGTTGTGTACATCAATTCTTCTTGGATCTTTTATTGGCAGGAGCCTTATATATAGGGTCATCATTTTTTTAACATATTTATTTATAGAAATTTAAAGTTATCAAATAATTTTGTTTATAATTTATGGTAAATATTGCTAAAAGTGTGTATTTTTTGTATTATCCGATTGAACATATCCGCGAATTCTTTTCCTCTATGCTTGCTAAGTCAGGATACGATCTTACCATGTTCATCCATCACTTATTTTCCTGTATGTGGTTCTTTTGACAAACCAAGTAAGAAGCATTAGCAGGGAATACAAAAGCTATCAAATGGACTTTCAATGTATAAAATTCAACCAGAATCCAGGTATAAGTTGAAGATACAATACCATATCTTACAGATTAAGGCCATGGATTCTTGATATTACCAGCTAGTTGGGTTAGGTTTTTTCGATAGACAGGTTGAGTCTGGGGCCAACCCCAAACTTCTGGAACAACTTCTTGTCATCCTATAGAAAATCAACAATGACCAAACTGACCCATTTATCATCTGAGGGGGTTCCAAGTTAAAGTAGTCTTGAGGTTTGTTAGTTAAGATCCTGGTAGTTGACTTTTTCCATGTTTGACCATATCAACATCTTATCACTGTTGTGTCTAAAATTCCAGTGGACGCCACCCAAATGAGTCTCTTCTGAATAAAGAACAATCTTCTTTTAGTCACATGTACCTGCAACTCCACATGTTCAAGCTGCATTTCAGACAGGAAAATCAATTTTGTTCTTCTTTAACCCCTTTTTTTGTTATTTTTGATAAAGCAGATCCTGATTCTAGATGAGGCGGATAGACTTCTGGACATGGGATTTCAGAAGCAACTCACTTACATAATTTCTCGGTTGCCAAAGCTCCGCAGGACTGGCCTTTTTTCTGCTACTCAGACTGAGGCTGTTGATGAGCTTTCGAAGGCAGGATTAAGGAACCCTGTCAAGGTTGAAGTTCGAGTAGAAGCCAAAGCATTAGGTGATATGGCATCAACACAAGAATTAGCTTCTTCAAGAACACCTTTGGGTCTTCATATTGAGGTATAGGCTGTAGTATTAAGGTTGTTTTATGCTTATGAGAGCTTAGTTGTTTAAGTATCCGTTTTTTGACTGTATACTGTCGTAGGTATAATATTGACATGAGTTGTGAAGTCACATAACAAGTGTACTTTCTCCCTAAGTTATAATCCTCCTGATTTTCGTTTGAAATGTTTGATTATTTCCACGACAAGCATTTTTGAGATCTTGAATGATTCAACTCTGCTTCCAGTCCTAGTCTGAGATGACGTAGCAACAATCTTCCGTAGTCTTGTTCATTAGTGACTTGTGTCTTGATGTAATGGTCATCATGAAGCCAACTGATATGCTGCTCATCCATTGTGAAGGAGTGGATTCAATGTGGTGTTTTATTTATTTCTTCCTTATAGATTTTCTTTAAGTGATCGTTGGGGAAACCAAAAGTTATGGTCTGGTTCTTTTATCCAAATACCATAGATCCCTCAGGAGACTGTTTGACGTTTGTCTGTAATATCCATGAATGTATTCTATACTAATATTCTGACAATGGGTAAGACTATATCCCAATTTTGCATTGTTGCTTCATGTACCTAACAACTTTTCAGCAACATTAAGTGTATCTAGTGGTAACTCATTTAAAAGATATGTGTACCTACTCCAAGGATAGAGTTTGTTAAGTTCGCACAAAATCTGTTTCTAGTTATTAATGAAGTTTAGCAATCACTAGCCTGTCATGTTGTCTATGTATTTTATCCATAACAACTGATCCATAATCTAATTTCCTAAAGTAAAAGCAGTCATTTCCTTCAAAAGCAAACCTGGCTCATTAATTCAAGTTTCTAAAATTTTCTTCATATTTTGCAGTACATGGTATGTGAAGCACAGAACAAGCTGTCCTACCTTGTTGACTTCATATCAAGGAACATGTCAAAAAAGATAATAGTGTAAGATTATCCATAGTCATTATTTGGTTGTGCTTTCTACAATGTATGACTTGTTTGTGTGGTACATCAATATTATCTTGAGCTTTGTCAATTGCAGCTACTTTATGACATGTGCATGTGTTGATTACTGGGGAGTTATTCTTCCTCAACTTATTGCGTTAAAAGGTTGTCCATTAATCCCACTTCATGGGAGAATGAAGCAGGTAATTTGCAATAAATTATGGACTTAAGGTATTCATAGCATTTGAGGTCCTTAAAGTATTCTGTGATGAATACATAAGATTTCTTACACATTCTGTACTCCCTTGGTAGATAGCGAGGGAGAAAGCATTGGCATCTTTTACAAATCTTTCAAGTGGTGTTCTGCTATGCACCGATGTAGCAGCTAGGGGTCTGGACATTCCTGGTGTTGATTGGATATTGCAGGTAAATTTATGGTGTAGTTAACAAAAGTACAAGCTTTGGAAAATGCGGTTTATCATTATTGTTGTTGTACATGGTAAAAGTGTAGATTGCCTGCTATGTTGCTATAAGGCTTTTTGTTCCAATCACATGAGTCTTGGCTTGCTATTGTTGCTGAGGAAACTTGGCTGATCTTAAAATATAGCTTTTCTATGAAAATTTGGCACTATTGCCTATTTATCTTTCTGATATCTAACTAAAGTCATGTAGCAAACTACGATTCTTGAAATGTTCCGTCAACAAAGGGGTCATCAAAATTAAATCACCATGCCAACAGATTTACTGGTGCTTCTAGAGATACTACATAGAATCACTAGTGTTGTATTGTTGTTGTGTGGATCAGTCACTTAGAAATTGAGAAAAAACAAAGTGCAATTGCCAAAATATTTATATTTCTTCGCGATCGTATCCCATTTGTTAAGTTAAACTGAAGCTTGAGGAAATCATTTAAAGGGCATATTCTCAGGATATTCATAAGTTCCACGAGCAGCACACGGTATAAATTCTCTTAGAAAATCAAAAACCAATTTCGTGTAGCATGGATCATCAATTAGTTAAATTGAAACATTTTGCTTTCTGGCATAAACATATGCAGACTGCTCAAACTAAATAATTCTTATCTCTTTGTTTACTTGATGTCCAGTATAAATTTCCATTTATATCTTCTGAACTAGATTTTACCTGTATTTGCTTAAATACAATGTTCTCTAAGTTCTTTATGTTCTCTTGACAGTATGACTCGCCACAGGATCCAAATGTATTCATACATAGGGTTGGCCGAACTGCACGGATAGGAAGACAAGGAAGTGCTGTTGTATTTCTGTTGCCAAAGGTTCATTCAGCATTCATATTCACCAGGAAATTCCATGTTGATAGAATATGCATTGCCTCTGGGTTAAAATGCTATTCTGCATGCAGGAGGATGCTTATGTGGAGTTCCTGCGCCTGAGAAGGGTGCCCCTTAAAGAGAGAAAAAGTTTAGATGTGGCATTTGACATTGTTCCCCAGGCAAGACTTTTCTTCAGATTAAAAACCTATGGAGTTTTCCACTCCCCAAAGTCCAAACTGTTTGGTGGCACAGTTTTCATCTTGTCTGAATATTGCAGGAACATGAGTTATTGACGGAACGGTGCGTCTTAAAAATGGGAAATACTAAATTGGAATACATAAACATATTTAATGCTCATTATTATTGAGAAATTTGGAGGTAAAAGCTGCCATCTAATAGCTTGAGGTTAAGCGAATCAGGTTAAAATTAGTTTTTGCACTAATGTTGCTTGCAACATTTGATTTTTAAGCTATACTGATCGAAAGTTGAAAACTAACTAGAAACAGTTGAGTTATTAATATGAAGGGTCACTAATCTTCTGGTATCCTGTTTTTGATCAGTATCTTAAGTCAACTATAGCGTTGGTATTTCTTGGGTGGTATGTTAGGCTGCAGAAATAAAGATATTCTCAAACCTAAGAATTGGAATATGTATATCAACAAAGAAATCTGAAATTGCTACACTCTGAGCTTTTATGTTGATTTCTTTTGTCTCTTTCGGTGATCTAAGGAACAGTACAAGGCTCTCCATTGCTCACTTCCTAATGTTATTATGATGCTCTTAGTATTTGACTTTTATGTTGAATTAGGGGGGTTAGGTTGTTAATAAATTATGTCACAGTAGCTCACTCAGATTATATCATCTTGAATTATTGCTGCAGTCACAAAGATAAGGTTGTGATGCATCAACCTATGAGTTGGACTGCCAGTCTGCTGTACTCTTTTATAAATAAGACCAGTTCAGACAATTTGTGCACATGTTTTCCATGAAAGGATGAGTGGCATTCTTCTTTTTATTTTTTCTATTTGTTTTCTGGAATGTTAATTATCTCATAGATGATATACAATTGTTATAGATCAGATCTGCAGCCAAAGAAGATCGTGATGTAATGGAGAAGGGGATTAAAGCATTTGTGTCTTACATCCGTGCATACAAGGAACATCACTGCTCTTTCATCTTCAGGTTTGCCTTATCATTATCTTTCTTTGATACCACAACATTTTTTAAGTTTTCTAATGGCATCAATTACAGGTGGAAAGAACTGGAGATTGGGAAATTGGCCATGGGATATGGTTTACTGCAGATCCCATCAATGCCAGAGGTGAAGCATCACTCTCTGTCAGTCGATGGTTTCTCTCCTGTAGATGGTATTGATTTGTCACAGATCAAGTACAAGTAAGCATCTGTTTATCAGGCAAATTGTCATTTGAGTACTGTAAGATTTGGTCAACAATGATTTAACTAATATTTTTTAACTATTTCATATAATTTATCACTTATATAGTTTATTTTTAGATATTAACTTCTATAAATGAGTATAATTATCTTCCATAATTCTTGATCCGGGTTTGGAATATCTTACATCTTGAAACCTGTTCAATAACTTTTTCCTTTGTAATTTATATTTGCTATTAATAACATTTTCATGTGAACTGCCTGTGGCTACATACATATCCCTTGTGCTTGGTTTCAATCTTGTTGAGAATTGACCTACTATATGGGAACTCACAGAACATATATTTGGCTGTGGTTTCTTTTATTTTTTTCCTCTCTCTCTGCTTATGTTCCTTGTTATATCCAGAGATAAAGCTAGAGAGAGACACAGATTGAAGATCTTGCAGAGCAAGCAAGCGGAAGAGCCTAAACAAAATAGAGTGAAGAAGATACCGGATGACAATGTTGCCATTACAAGGAAGAAAACAGGCAGGCAACGTCGTGCGACTCAAACCAAAGAGGATGACGAGGAGTTGGAAAATGAGTATCGCTTGCTGAAGAAGCTGAAGCGAGGGTTGATTGATGAAAGCGAATATGAAAAGCTTACTGGTTTTGGAAACTTGGAAGAAGGCTCCTCTGAAAGTAACTCCAAGGACTACGGAGCGGAACTCTCTACCGGGTCAAAAAGTAAAAGAGCAAAAATCAAGCGAGGAAAGAATGCAAAAAACACAGAAAGATCCAGGGCTAGGAAGAACAAGAAGGGTTCGAAGATGATGAGGCTGAAGATGATAAAGAATACAAGGGCTTGACTCACCTGCCATCATTGTGCACGTAGGTCGGGTGTAGCCATGATGCTGTAACAGACTCCAATAGTATGCAAATCATTCTGCTTCCTCGAAAGGTTCAGTCCATGTCATATGGTAAGATCAAATTAGACTTGGAGCCTATGAATATTTACGCCTTGTGCTGATAATGTTGCGTTTCTTGGCTGTTTGCAGTCCTTTCTTTTGATGCAGTTATCAAGCTAATTTTGGAGGTCGGCAACCGGTAATGGTATGGTACTTACGAAAATAGTAAAGATACAGTTTGTTCTACGAATTTGAATTTGTCAAAACAGACACACACATACATTGCTGCTTATAAGCTCTGATGTCTGCTCTCTTGTGGTCCGGTGGATGATCAGGTTTAAGTCGCAAAAATGTGTTTTTATTTATCGAGAAAAAAATGCATATTGATCGGTCATCTCAAATTTTAATCTCTACTGGATTCCTTTTGATGCCTTCCTAGAAAAAAAAAAAAGATGATCACAGCAAGCGTGACTTGCTTGCAACTGAGGCGGATGGTCCTAAAGCTACCAAAGGGCCGCTACAACACCGACAACGGGACCGGTGGAGCTTTTTATCCACTGCCAACATTGTCCCGACCTAAACGTACGCCCGCTTCGTCTCTCCACAAGAGGACAATACCAATGACTATTGGAGCTTTTGTCCTCCGATCTATATCTTCTTTGATCTCAAACATGTGCACATGCTGAACACGGACAAAAAATTATTATTCTTATTTAGAATGTAGATGATTTATCTTATCTCGGTTCCAAATTTTTCTTGGACAAAAATTATTCATAGTTTTTCTTGGATTATTTTGTCGAGTGAATGCCTAATTGGATGATTCACCATCCAATTATTTTGATCATGTGATAGATGGTTAAAAGAATGATTATTCATGTCATGAATGAGACAGAGAAAATGTATGGTAGTGGTGCTTCGTTGGTGACAAGTGTAGTTGGCGCTGTTCGAGGCACATTTTCCTATGGAAAAGATGAGAAGTCGCACAATAATTTTGCCGGAGAAGGCCAGACGGGTGCGGATGTGCTTTCCCTTTCACCTCTCTCTCTCTCTCTCTCTCTCCCTCTCTCAAAATAATGGAGGACTGCACTCACTCATCCTACCGCACACTTTGCAGGCGTTCAAACGTCCTCCCTCTGCACCTCCAAAGTTAGCTTCTCCAACAGGCCGTACGAGAATCTCTTCTGCTGCGGCTCACCTTTAGTCGGACAGTAACTTCGACTGCAGTTTGGATGTGAACACAAAAGAAGACTCTCTCTCTCTCTATCTCTCTCTCTTTTCGCACACACATTTTGAGACCTCAGAAGAAACGTTTTTTTACTGCATGCAAAAGCTTATCTTAACCAATCAGTGTAAATTAACAGTGGGTGGTCGATACCATGAATGCAAGCAATCTCCATAGTATCCTTGGTGTTCACTTCTTCTTCTGCTTGTATGAACCAAACAAAATTCATATATATCCTTCTCATCACTCACGCAGAGACAAGTATCAGAGAAGAAGTAAGAGGTTTATGTACTGACAAGAATCGGAACAACACGTTTCGATTACCTATTATATATCATGCACCAATTCCATCAAAATTTACTGAATCAGTCTCCCAAGTTGGTCAGCCTCATGACAATTATACGGAATTTAGAGCCAAGAACATCAGATGCATAGGCTCATGTATCCTTCCCCTGCGCTGACTGCCAAATTGCAGCAAGAAGAACTAAACAAGAGGAATAGACACTCAAGAAGATGATGACGAGCCAGCTGGCGTAGCACGCGATCCCTCACCGGCCTCCGAACTACTCAAAGCTGCAGCAACAGCGCTGATATTTCGAGCACCAGTAGCGTCGTCAGCAATAGAAGCACCAACAGCAGGAAACAATGAAGCCTCCCCTCCGCTGGTGGCCGCCGCTGTGTCCTGTAGGAGCTTCCGCTTCTTCTTCTTCTTCTTCTTCTTGTGGTAAGGGACGCCGCGAGCCCTGCCCTGGCTCTCCTTCACCTCGCGAAGGTAGATGCCGACGGCCCTCGCGCCGAAGGGGTTGGACTCGGGCACGCCGTCGTTCTCCTCGTAGGCGGCCCGGAGGCGCCCGACGAGCGCGTCGAGCGAGCCCCACGCCTGCTTCAGCGGGCAGACGCACGGCGCCGGCGGGTTCGGGTGGCCGAAGTAGGTGCACCCGGTCGCGTGCACCTTCGTCTTCCCGAACTGGTCCAGGTACTTCAAGAACTCGATCACGTGAGCCCCGCTGCAGCGCGCCAGGCTGAGCGGCGGCCGGTGGCTCCTCAGGTACTGAAGGAAGGTGTTCCAGTCTCGCCGCTTCTGCGACTCGTATCGGCTCGGCGGTTTCCGTTGCTGCTGCTGCTGAGGAGATGATGGAGGAGGCGGAAATGGATCGACGACACCGAGATCGGTCGGGCCAGGATCCATGCAACCGTAGTCGCTGTTGACGCCCTTGTATCTTCTCTACTTGGTTTACTTGCAGTCTTCTCTCTTACAACCCCTCTTTGCTTGTCGAGGAAGAGTTGGGTTGGGGTGGGGGTGCGTGTGCAGTGCGCAGTGCGCAGGAAAGTGGGGAGACTTGAAGTCGGGCGTCAAAAAGAGTTAATGCTGCTGATTGGATATATGAAGCAAGAAAGAAAGATAGAGACTAAGAAACGTAACGAAGTTGGTGACCCCTAAGAGTAGGGTTACGTGAATCATTTGATGATGTTTTCTTCCAAGGTTTTGTGTTGTGATTTGATTGAGAGAGAGAGAGAGGCATCTTGCACAGTTCCGCAGCGTTTGTATGATTGCATCGGCGTCTAGGAAGCATCCAATGGACCTAAACATGGATATGATCAGAGAGAGAGGCATCTTGCACAGTTCCGCAGCCTTTGCATGATTGCATCGACGTCTAGGAAGCATGCAATGGACCTAAACGTGGATATGATCGGATTCGGATCATTGCTTCAACTGGTGGATTCATATGTTTAATATTCTATATAAATAAATATAATTATACTTTTGTACCTTCAAGTTTCACATAGAGACATTAATGATATATTAATGTGGCTATATCCTTCTCATGTCACCTAATCATCTACCTCAACAGTTGCATGGGCAATCATAGGATAAGAACACTGTTCAAAAAAATATATTTTTTTTAATGTTAAAAAAATGTATATGAAATGTGCTTATGTATGTATGCATACGAGAGAGAAATATCTTTAAAAAAATACTAAACAGGCTCTTGATTTATATTTTAAAAATAATGCTAATAGAATCCAATGCTTGTTTGCACCAAAACTCATAAACAACTCTCAAATAAGATTTTTGATAAATATCTCTCCAACGATCAAATCAGTTTTCGAGCTCAAAATGTTAAAAATTATTGGATCTACTGAATTCGTCCGACTAGCCAATGAAATCAAAAGAAAGAAAATATGTATTGATTATATATCTTGAGGTCTCGATGGTTCGAAAATGATTACATCCGAGGTCATCAACAACAACGAGAGGGGAGGGGATCCTGTAGTATTTTAGCTTATGGTATCTTATTGTACCCATCGTGAGGTCCAATAATCAAACATTCGGTAACGTACAACTCATTGCAACCATGTGTTGTGAGATTAGATTGTCACATGTTGATTGAGTTTGACTGATAAGTTTTTTGGATGATCGATTTGTCAATCATATGTCCTTATGTTTTAGCTTATTATGTCAATTTTTTCTTATCAAGAATAAATTTTTCATCAATCCCTTTCAAACCTTTAATAATGGCATTGACACTTGAAAATAATAATTATTAGAATTTAGATATTGATGAGTATGAGTCATACATATTATAATTAATATATATGAGGTTAGAAACAAATTCAATCTAAAAATTTAAATTTCTATATTATAGGTCAAACATAGTTTAATGGAACTTCACTATTTCAATCCTTATACCGACTATTCTCCCAACCTTCTTTCTTTATCTCATACTCGTACATATTTGTTATCTTCTTATGTCAAGTGGATTGATTAATCGGATTTGGTTCAATCCTAATCGACGTATTGACCTTCTGATGTTAGCTTAGGAGATGGAATAAGAGAGAAGATGATTGTAAGAAAACCCAAACCTTAAGAAGAAGGCTTATGCTCATCTTTTATAGTCGATAAATAATATAAAAATATTTTTGGTATCAATAATTCTATAATTCATAATATGATATTTCAACGAATATTTCCATGCTCATGCGACATATAATTGCTATCAAGCAAATCCTCGGATCATTTAGGCTGTCACGCAATCGGAAACCCATGGAGGGAAAACGACATTGGTGGCAATTCATTACTATTCATGTGAAGACACAGATGCTCTATCCCACGTCACACCGCTGACCCAAAAGCAAACGTTTCACCAAAAAGAATCATAATGCTAGTGATCGGTCTCTTTCCAAGGATAACGTCAATCGAATCCTCTCTCTAAAACTTTCTATATCACATGTTTTACTAGTATCCGACATATAAGTTTCATTCGATTCACAAAATAAATCCATCAAACATATTCGAGAACTAATCATTGCTCGAGTCAAATATTACGGTATTAGAGTTTTAGAAGTCTGAAAGAAAAAGAAAAAGAGCTGGATGTATTTAAAGTTTATCGTAATGTCATATTCGAGAATTAATCATCTTCGATGCTTGAGTCAAATATTACGGTATAAGAATTTTAGGAGTTCGAAAGAAGAAGAAAACAGAAATAGAACTCGATGTATTTGAAGTTTATCATAATGTCATATTCGAGAATTAATCATCTTCGATGCTTGAGTCAAATATTACGATATTAGAGTTTTATGAGTCCGAAAGAAGAAGAAAAAGAAAAAAAGATCGATGTATTTAAAATTTATCATAATATCATATTCGAGAATTAATCATCAAATATTACGGCATTAGAGCTTTAGAAGTCCAAAAGAAGAAGGAACGAAAAAAAAAAAAAAAAAAAGGACCTCGATGTATTTGAAGTTTATCGTAATATCATATTAAAATGAGAAATATACGACATATATTATCTTATTGTTTCACAAAAATATATTAGAATGATTCACAAAATAGTAAATGAAGAGTACAAGCAACATAAACGAATATATCTCTTCTCTTGTTGCATACGAAGAATTACAAGCACTATATTTTGAGTTTGGGATTGGACTTATCAATTTCGACACGGAACGTTTTGTTATATGATATAATCGTATTAAACTAAGATTACAAAGCACATTATTCGATTTATCTCGTTCGATCGATTCCTCCTAACATATTTCTTGACTTGCCAAGGAATGAATGACATCCTTATGATGGCCGCCCTCGTGCCTTATCATTTCCGCCCTCAACTCAATTGTTGCGGGCCCCAAAGCATACGAGACGAAGCACCCATCGATGATCATCTTTTCTTGCGG